TATCATTTTACACACACACATATATAGAACTCTGCACAGGCTCTAATTTTATACATTTAGACACCATAACATTCTTTTTTAAGAAATTTTGAAATTTCCAAAATATTTTCGTAACGATCTTGTATATGTACATAAATTTTATCCTAACAAACAAATATACATACATTTATATATATAATGTATATGAACCAGCATTTGTGTAAAATGAGTATACGAGTTCCGAATATGTGTGTTCACATACATTTGTTAAATATGTCATTTTGTAAGTTTGTATTCGTATACATAGAAAAAAAACCTTGGCCGAATTTTAAAGTTGAAAGTACGAAAAATTATCCAAATTTGTTACTGTTTTCATTTTTTGTTTTCTTTTTGGTTTTTTTATTATTTTTTATTAAGCATGAAGTTTAAAAAATTTCATTGACAATAGTAATTCTTTTCAAGGACCTTTTGTGTTGTATTTTTCTTTTCTTTTTTTTAAATATTTAAAATTCAACATTTTTTTTTTTTATTTTTCAAATGTAGTACTCAATTTTTTGTTTTATTCTCTCTTTTGTTTTACAATAAATTTCATATGAATTAACCCCTAAAAAAAAAAATGGTTTAGTGGAAAAAATTTTGTAGACAAAAGACAAATTTTCATTTTTGTTTTTCTTTTGTTATTTTTGTTGTGTGAATATGTTGGAGAGTATTTTTAAGTATGTAAATAATGTGTATATGTGTGTGTAGAATGAAAAGGTATGAAAATTGAAACATTTTTTAGAACAAATATTGCAAAACTCAAATTGTAAAAAATTTGCATAACTTTAGGCTGCAATGTTATTGTTTGGAAGGTGTTTAAAAATATACATATATGGCGTGTAGAAATTACTATGGTTTGAATGAATTTTATAAACTTGAGAGCTGTACTTAGAGAATTTGGACATCGGCATTGGGACTTAATGAAAATACTGTTGAATAAATACAGTGATATCTTGCTATACATCATATGGAAATTTTTTGCATTTCAATAATTTTCTTTAATGAGCATTGTTCAATATGTTAATACGTTTTAGTTGTCACACATTACTACAAATGGTAATCAATAAATACGAATATGCAATAATTATATTATTTGCAACTAATTTTTTAAATGTGTTAAGAATCAACGCCAAAAATATAATACAAATTATTGTTTTGCGTATTATTCCGAGTTAAATTGAAAAACCTAAATTGAGAATTAAGTAAAAACAACTGCAACTTTATTTATTTTAACACTTTTAGATTTTAAAGTGCAAGCCCAATTTAATGACTTATGCAAAAAACTAATTCTCCTAACACAAAATGTTTTGGAAACGTAACCACTAAGCAATAAAATGTTTTGATATTGTATACAACAACTAATTTTCATTTAGCCATATTAAGGCAACCCCCATAGAAAATAATATAAGAAATTCATTGAAAAATTTATTCCTACTGAAAATATACGTAATTTGGTGGGTGCAAAATTGTTGCACTTCGAAATTTTACATCAGTTTTTTTTCGAGACATTGATGTTTCCACAATATTTTTCCAACATTTTTCTTTTCTTTTACAAATTAATCAAATAATGAAATTTTTTTTTATTAACTGAATTCTCTTGATATTATTCGCTATCGCAACTAGTACACTGTTTGTATGTAAAAAATTTATGTTTTTAAAAAAAAAAACCATTGCCCCTTGTGTTATTGAAACTTTAATGTTACATTTTTTTAAATTTTTTTCTTTTACACCAATAGAAAAGGTATACCAAATATGACATTACGATTTGAAAAAAAATTTATATTGTATTTCGTTTCCTAGTTTTAGTTTGGCATATTGATCAATAATCGATAGTTAACAAATCGAGAATGGATAATAATAAGGGTTAATAATTGAGTTTATTACTTAAATTTTAAGAAAACGACAAGATTACTCTCTTAAAAGAAATGTGCTTCTCAAATTTTTGGAACACTCCCAAAAACAAAATAATTTTCATACCAATTGACAATTGTAAATGAGAAAATAATTTGACAGCTAAAATCAAATCGATTCAAAACTTCAAACTCTTTCTTCTCTCTTAAATTAAATTTCAATTAAATTATAATATTCAGTTTACAAAATAATAAAATAATTCAACAAGTATCCTATAATATTAAAATTGTTTCAAGTTGAATTTTTTCTTGCTCATGCATATATTGCCAAAGATAAATATTGTGTTGGTTGGATTTTGCTATCATTGCAAAAATTCTAAACAAAGTAACAAACAAATTGACATGACGCTTTTACAATTTTCAATTCTGTGTAATTTTTTTTCCTTTTATCTTGTTTTTCAGTTGGAAATTCAATGGAAATGGAAAGAAAATGAAAGAAAAAATTTTGTATTTTGACTTTTGAACAAAAAAAGTTTACCATTGTGCAATACTCAATCTTTTTTTGCTCTGGCATTTGTTTTTTTTTTTTTTTGTTTATTGCTATCGGGCAATGCAGAAATTCTATAATAGAAGAAAACGTAATTCGAAGGGTAGATAAACAATGATTGTCCTTGCCACGAATAATAACGCTTAACTACAGCTATAACGCTATAATGCTGTTGTATTTTTTATGCATTTCACAAATAACACACTTACACTATGAATTCAATTTATTTTCGTTTTTTTTCATTGCAATATTCTAAAACGTTCAATAAAATAAATGGGGGTCATTTTATACAATATATATATAATAAAAAAAAATGGAGAAAAAAAAATAAAACACTATCTATTGCAATAACTGAAAAGAAAACCAAAGCTTTACCGTATCTTTGTAAACTATTTGCAATATGCAAATGAGGGTTGATTACACGCGATTTCTCTATTTTTTTTCAAATCAGTTCAATTTATTGTAAAAATGCTTGAAGTAATTTGACAATATTAAATTTTTATTGTTGACTTTTTGATTCGGTTTAAATATATTGGAATTAAAGTGTTGTTGAATAAATGCTATGTTTTTTGTGGAGAATAATGAAATGAGGAATTGTTAATCTGTTGAAATTGTATTTAAATTTAACAAAATAAGTAAAAACATAATTGCACACACATCCTCGTATTTAAAACAATGCGTGTGAATGTTGTTATAATACGCCAACTTGTAGAAATTTTCTGATTTTTGTGACAATCTTATTTGAGTTCTCGTTGAAGTGTTCGTAGATCGTAGATTCTAAGGGAACCGAATGGGACAGGAGTAACCCCCCAAGCCACCGCAGCCATTTTTGACTTATTGTAGCCTCCCCACGCTCCCGCCTATAATATACCCGTCCCAACCACAAAGCCGGAGATATACCTAAGGGAGTTGGACAACAGTTCCCGAACACTTAGGGACCCATGTACAAGACAATTGCGGCGCCGAACAGACAGTGCCGGGCAGTCGCAGAGAATCTGTACGGCGGTCTCATCGCCACCCCCACAAAATCTGCACAGGGGGGAGCCCGACATCCCCAGCCTATGCAGGTGGTACTTCACTGGGCAGTGCCCCCTGAATCTCTGCAACTCTGCGGTGAATCCTCTGGAGCGTGTCCCGCCAGTGACGGCCGCATTCCACCGCGAACAGGCAGGCAAGCCTGGCCTCCACGGTGGAAGAAGGCAGACCGCAGAAAGCCCGGCACCCAAATCAGCGTGGCTCTGTTCTCCGATGCCAATTCCATAAGTGCAGCAAGGCAGCCTCATTGCCGTCCGCATTGCCCCGGTCACTCCTAGGCAGGCCAGCCTCTGTAGCTTTTTCAGCTTGGCCCGCACACCCGCCTGCTGAGCCTTACGGCACCATACAATCGACGCATAGGTGACGATGAGCCTAGCAAGGGTCGTATATAGCCACAGTGCTATTCTGGGACTAATTCCCCAGGTCCCCCCGATGAAGCTCCTACACATCCACAAGGCCGCCGTAATCCTCTCGGTAACTCTATCTATATGGGTATTCCAGGAGAGACGATCATCCAGGGTTACCACCAGATATTTCACCTCCCTAAAGTAACTAATACGTTCACCAAACAGAATTATGCTCGTTAATCTATCCCTGCTTCTGCATCTGGTGACGGCGACCAAAGTGCTCTTGCTTGGATTTATATTTAACCCAACGCCTTCGCACCACCTCTCCACAACATGTAAATTTTGCTGTAGAAGATCAGAAATAGTGCTCTCAAATTTTTTTCCCGTACGACTAAGGCCACATCGTGGGCGTATCCCCAGACACGTGCCCCTTAGCCCTGCGGACACCCTTTTGCAGCGGAGATGAAGAGTATATCGTCAGCTATGATGGACTTAATAATCCTATCCTGTAGCATCCGATTAACCCATCTGCTAGTCGTCGCATCAATCCCTCGTTTGTGCAACGACTCACAGATGACATGATATGGGGTGTTGTCAAAAGCTCCCTCTATATCAAGGAAGCAGCCAACCGCCACATCCCTCACTTCCAGTGAGTTTTCAAGGACCTCCACCAGATTCTACAGAGCGAGTACAGTAGACCTTCCCGACTGATAGGCGTACTGAGATTCATGCAAGGGATTGCTTCCCAATGCATCGTCCCGTATAAATCTATCAATCATTTTTTCCATTGCTTTCTAATAGAAAAGAAGTAAGGCTGATTAGACGAAAAGACCTTGGGTGGTTGCTTGGTCGTTTACCCGCCTTCGGAATATACGTCACTTTAGCCCACCATGTCCTCCAAATTTTTCATGCCACGCATAGCTGGCACGAAAAAATTCCAACAGTGCTCTGGCGATATGTTGGAAACCTCTCTGTAAAAATGCAAGATATATCCCGTCATCACCCGGAGATTTGAAGGGCCTGAAAGTGAATCAGCCCATCTAACCCTGTTATAGCACCGGTCCTTTAACCGAAGGGTCTCGGGTTCAAACCCCGATCAGGTCACTATAAAAATTATATTCAATATTATTATAACTTCTTCTTCTTCTTCTTCTTCTTCTTCTTGTTGTAGGCACATTTGCCTGTTTTATCCAATATTCTCTTTTATGGATTTTCATGATCGTGGGATGTAGAGGTCCAGCACTCATGCCACCTTTTAGGAGGTCTGCCTGGGGGTCTTTTGGTGTTGGGCTTGTTGGTCATGGCTATTTTGGGTAGTCGGTTCTCGCTCATGCGGTTCACATGGTCCCTCCAGTAGCGCCGTCTGCATCTAGTCCATCGAACAATATCTTGAATTTTGCATTCTTCTCTTATATCTGCACTTCTTTTTTTGTCAAGCAAAGTGTATCCACAGATCTGCCTAAGAGTTTGCATTTCTGTGGCTCGCAATCTTTGTTTGGTCGATGACGTGTCTGCTCTTGTTTCAGCTGCATATGTCATTATGGGGCGCACGCAAGTTTTGTAAACACGCACCTTATTTTCAATTAGCATATATTTATTTTTCCATATGACATCGCGAAGGTAGCCCGATATTGCAGAGGCCTTTGCTGTTTGAACCTGTGTCTCCTTGTTGTTATCTCGATGGCTCGTAATTTCGACTCCAAGGTATTTGAAGCTCATAACCTGCTCAATTGACTGATCTTCAATCGATAGTTTACATCGAATCGGTTCTTTGGCGATCGTCATACATTTGGTTTTTTCAATGGATATTTTCATGTTGAATGACTCAGCGATAGTTTTGAACTTGAATAATAGTCTTTGCAGATCGTCCTCGTTTTCTGCTAGTAGGACAGCATCATCAGCATAACATATTATTTTAATATCCTCGCTTCCTATCTTATAGCCAGTTCCGAAATCGATCAGTCCCTTAATTATTTCATTCATGACCAAGTTAAACAAAGTGGGACTTAAACTATCACCTTGTCTTATACCGGAAGAGGTTGGTATTTCCTCAGACACATCATTTCTTATTTTGACCTTTGTGTTGTTATTTGTGTACAGTTCTTGGATAACCCTTATTAGACTTGCATGTATGTTATTTATTTGCAGGATCTGAAGTGCGTCTCCCAAACGAACGTGTGAATATGGCATCTATTGTTGATCTGTTTTTCCGGAAACCATTTTGCTCTTCTCTGATGACTACTTTTGATAACACTTCATCATTTATAATTTTCGTGAGCAGTTTTTGAACAGCGCTCAACAACGTAATCCCCCTATAGTTTTTTGGATCGGCCTTTGAACCCTTTTTAAATATGGGAATCGTCAAACTACTTTTCCAATCCAATGGTACTGATTGTGTCTGAATAGCGTGGTTAAACAATTTTACTAACTCATCCGCAAGTGTTGCACCACCATATTTAAGATATTCATTGACAATATCATCTATACCACCCGACTTTCTATTTTTCAATGTTGCTAAATTTTCTAAGATGGTCGTTTTACTGATAAAATAGTCTGATTCATCTGAAGTTTCAAGCTCTTCCGCCAATGAAATTTCTACTACCTCGCTTTCATAAACCTGCATGAAGTGATTTACAAGGACCTCGATAGTTAACAATATAATCGATAGTTAACAAATCGAGAATGGATAATAATAAGGGTTAATAATTGAGTTTATTACTTAAATTTTAAGAAAACGACAAGATTACTCTCTTAAAAGAAATGTGCTTCTCAAATTTTTGGAACACTCCCAAAAACAAAATAATTTTCATACCAATTGACAATTGTAAATGAGAAAATAATTTGACAGCTAAAATCAAATCGATTCAAAACTTCAAACTCTTTCTTCTCTCTTAAATTAAATTTCAATTAAATTATAATATTCAGTTTACAAAATAATAAAATAATTCAACAAGTATCCTATAATATTAAAATTGTTTCAAGTTGAATTTTTTCTTGCTCATGCATATATTGCCAAAGATAAATATTGTGTTGGTTGGATTTTGCTATCATTGCAAAAATTCTAAACAAAGTAACAAACAAATTGACATGACGCTTTTACAATTTTCAATTCTGTGTAATTTTTTTTCCTTTTATCTTGTTTTTCAGTTGGAAATTCAATGGAAATGGAAAGAAAATGAAAGAAAAAATTTTGTATTTTGACTTTTGAACAAAAAAAGTTTACCATTGTGCAATACTCAATCTTTTTTTGCTCTGGCATTTGTTTTTTTTTTTTTTGTTTATTGCTATCGGGCAATGCAGAAATTCTATAATAGAAGAAAACGTAATTCGAAGGGTAGATAAACAATGATTGTCCTTGCCACGAATAATAACGCTTAACTACAGCTATAACGCTATAATGCTGTTGTATTTTTTATGCATTTCACAAATAACACACTTACACTATGAATTCAATTTATTTTCGTTTTTTTTCATTGCAATATTCTAAAACGTTCAATAAAATAAATGGGGGTCATTTTATACAATATATATATAATAAAAAAAAATGGAGAAAAAAAAATAAAACACTATCTATTGCAATAACTGAAAAGAAAACCAAAGCTTTACCGTATCTTTGTAAACTATTTGCAATATGCAAATGAGGGTTGATTACACGCGATTTCTCTATTTTTTTTCAAATCAGTTCAATTTATTGTAAAAATGCTTGAAGTAATTTGACAATATTAAATTTTTATTGTTGACTTTTTGATTCGGTTTAAATATATTGGAATTAAAGTGTTGTTGAATAAATGCTATGTTTTTTGTGGAGAATAATGAAATGAGGAATTGTTAATCTGTTGAAATTGTATTTAAATTTAACAAAATAAGTAAAAACATAATTGCACACACATCCTCGTATTTAAAACAATGCGTGTGAATGTTGTTATAATACGCCAACTTGTAGAAATTTTCTGATTTTTGTGACAATCTTATTTGAGTTCTCGTTGAAGTGTTCGTAGATCGTAGATTCTAAGGGAACCGAATGGGACAGGAGTAACCCCCCAAGCCACCGCAGCCATTTTTGACTTATTGTAGCCTCCCCACGCTCCCGCCTATAATATACCCGTCCCAACCACAAAGCCGGAGATATACCTAAGGGAGTTGGACAACAGTTCCCGAACACTTAGGGACCCATGTACAAGACAATTGCGGCGCCGAACAGACAGTGCCGGGCAGTCGCAGAGAATCTGTACGGCGGTCTCATCGCCACCCCCACAAAATCTGCACAGGGGGGAGCCCGACATCCCCAGCCTATGCAGGTGGTACTTCACTGGGCAGTGCCCCCTGAATCTCTGCAACTCTGCGGTGAATCCTCTGGAGCGTGTCCCGCCAGTGACGGCCGCATTCCACCGCGAACAGGCAGGCAAGCCTGGCCTCCACGGTGGAAGAAGGCAGACCGCAGAAAGCCCGGCACCCAAATCAGCGTGGCTCTGTTCTCCGATGCCAATTCCATAAGTGCAGCAAGGCAGCCTCATTGCCGTCCGCATTGCCCCGGTCACTCCTAGGCAGGCCAGCCTCTGTAGCTTTTTCAGCTTGGCCCGCACACCCGCCTGCTGAGCCTTACGGCACCATACAATCGACGCATAGGTGACGATGAGCCTAGCAAGGGTCGTATATAGCCACAGTGCTATTCTGGGACTAATTCCCCAGGTCCCCCCGATGAAGCTCCTACACATCCACAAGGCCGCCGTAATCCTCTCGGTAACTCTATCTATATGGGTATTCCAGGAGAGACGATCATCCAGGGTTACCACCAGATATTTCACCTCCCTAAAGTAACTAATACGTTCACCAAACAGAATTATGCTCGTTAATCTATCCCTGCTTCTGCATCTGGTGACGGCGACCAAAGTGCTCTTGCTTGGATTTATATTTAACCCAACGCCTTCGCACCACCTCTCCACAACATGTAAATTTTGCTGTAGAAGATCAGAAATAGTGCTCTCAAATTTTTTTCCCGTACGACTAAGGCCACATCGTGGGCGTATCCCCAGACACGTGCCCCTTAGCCCTGCGGACACCCTTTTGCAGCGGAGATGAAGAGTATATCGTCAGCTATGATGGACTTAATAATCCTATCCTGTAGCATCCGATTAACCCATCTGCTAGTCGTCGCATCAATCCCTCGTTTGTGCAACGACTCACAGATGACATGATATGGGGTGTTGTCAAAAGCTCCCTCTATATCAAGGAAGCAGCCAACCGCCACATCCCTCACTTCCAGTGAGTTTTCAAGGACCTCCACCAGATTCTACAGAGCGAGTACAGTAGACCTTCCCGACTGATAGGCGTACTGAGATTCATGCAAGGGATTGCTTCCCAATGCATCGTCCCGTATAAATCTATCAATCATTTTTTCCATTGCTTTCTAATAGAAAAGAAGTAAGGCTGATTAGACGAAAAGACCTTGGGTGGTTGCTTGGTCGTTTACCCGCCTTCGGAATATACGTCACTTTAGCCCACCATGTCCTCCAAATTTTTCATGCCACGCATAGCTGGCACGAAAAAATTCCAACAGTGCTCTGGCGATATGTTGGAAACCTCTCTGTAAAAATGCAAGATATATCCCGTCATCACCCGGAGATTTGAAGGGCCTGAAAGTGAATCAGCCCATCTAACCCTGTTATAGCACCGGTCCTTTAACCGAAGGGTCTCGGGTTCAAACCCCGATCAGGTCACTATAAAAATTATATTCAATATTATTATAACTTCTTCTTCTTCTTCTTCTTCTTCTTCTTGTTGTAGGCACATTTGCCTGTTTTATCCAATATTCTCTTTTATGGATTTTCATGATCGTGGGATGTAGAGGTCCAGCACTCATGCCACCTTTTAGGAGGTCTGCCTGGGGGTCTTTTGGTGTTGGGCTTGTTGGTCATGGCTATTTTGGGTAGTCGGTTCTCGCTCATGCGGTTCACATGGTCCCTCCAGTAGCGCCGTCTGCATCTAGTCCATCGAACAATATCTTGAATTTTGCATTCTTCTCTTATATCTGCACTTCTTTTTTTGTCAAGCAAAGTGTATCCACAGATCTGCCTAAGAGTTTGCATTTCTGTGGCTCGCAATCTTTGTTTGGTCGATGACGTGTCTGCTCTTGTTTCAGCTGCATATGTCATTATGGGGCGCACGCAAGTTTTGTAAACACGCACCTTATTTTCAATTAGCATATATTTATTTTTCCATATGACATCGCGAAGGTAGCCCGATATTGCAGAGGCCTTTGCTGTTTGAACCTGTGTCTCCTTGTTGTTATCTCGATGGCTCGTAATTTCGACTCCAAGGTATTTGAAGCTCATAACCTGCTCAATTGACTGATCTTCAATCGATAGTTTACATCGAATCGGTTCTTTGGCGATCGTCATACATTTGGTTTTTTCAATGGATATTTTCATGTTGAATGACTCAGCGATAGTTTTGAACTTGAATAATAGTCTTTGCAGATCGTCCTCGTTTTCTGCTAGTAGGACAGCATCATCAGCATAACATATTATTTTAATATCCTCGCTTCCTATCTTATAGCCAGTTCCGAAATCGATCAGTCCCTTAATTATTTCATTCATGACCAAGTTAAACAAAGTGGGACTTAAACTATCACCTTGTCTTATACCGGAAGAGGTTGGTATTTCCTCAGACACATCATTTCTTATTTTGACCTTTGTGTTGTTATTTGTGTACAGTTCTTGGATAACCCTTATTAGACTTGCATGTATGTTATTTATTTGCAGGATCTGAAGTGCGTCTCCCAAACGAACGTGTGAATATGGCATCTATTGTTGATCTGTTTTTCCGGAAACCATTTTGCTCTTCTCTGATGACTACTTTTGATAACACTTCATCATTTATAATTTTCGTGAGCAGTTTTTGAACAGCGCTCAACAACGTAATCCCCCTATAGTTTTTTGGATCGGCCTTTGAACCCTTTTTAAATATGGGAATCGTCAAACTAC